GGACGCACAAGCATACGCATGGAGATGCGACTAGTGTCAAAGGTTCTCCCCAGTCATTAGGCAGCCGGTCGGAGATTTACATTCACTAACCAGTCCTTGGCCATTCGCTCAATGGAGACTTGATTTGGTTGGATCCCTCCCGAGGGCTCCTAGTGACAAGAGGTTCCTGATTGTAGGGACAGACTATTTTACGAAGTGGGTGGAAGCAGAGTCGTTGACCCATATCAGGGACATAGACACCAAGAAGTTCATCTGGAAGAATATAGTGACAAGGTTTGGAGTCCCTCGTGCACTCGTGTCATATAACGGAATCGAATTCAACAGCAGGTCATTCAAGTCTTTTTGCGAGTATCTTGAGATCCGTAACTACTACTCCTCCCCAGCATACCCACAAGCCAATGGACAGACAGAGTTCTCCAACAAGACTATCATCAGTGGAATCAAGAAGAGGTTAGAAAAAGCCAAGGGGAAGTGGGTAGATGAACTCTTAAACATCCTCTGGGCGAACAGGACCACCCCTCGAACTTCAACAAGAGAAACGCCTTACGCTCTCGCACATGGAGTAGAGACGGTCATCCCATTGGAGGTAGGCCTCCCTACCATCAGGACACAAGCCTTCGACGCCGAAAGCAACGATCTCCAGCTCAATATAGACATGGATCTCACAGAGGAAAAAAGAGAAGTGGCTGTCCCAAGATTGGTTAAGTACCAAGAAGGGGTGTCCAGGCTCTATAACAAAAGGGTCAAATCCCGTGAATTCCAAATAGGCAATCTCATGCTTAAAAGGGTGGTGGCGAACACTCGGGATCCAGCGGACAGAAAGTTGGGCCCCAACTAGGAAGGGCCATATAAAATTCACGTTAGTAGGAGGCTCTGGGTTGTATAGCCTGGAAGACTTAGAAGGAAATGTTGTGCTTCGTCCTTGAAATGTAATAAATTTGAAGAAATACTACTTTTAAGGAATTTTCGTACTATGAGAAGTTATTCTAGAAAGGGCATAGCCTTGGAGGCAGTCTTAAGGACTTCTGCCTCCAAATAATAAATAGGAGTAAGCCTCTTGAAAGGGGCATAGCCTTGGGGGCAGAGTCTTAAGATTCCTGCCTCTAAATAATGAACAGGAGCACGTCTCCTGGAAGGGGCATGACCCTGAAAGCAGAGTCTCAGGGACTCCTGCCTTCGAATGAACAATAGGAGCAAGCCTCCTAGATAGGAGATGGCCTTGGGAGCCGAGACTCGAGAACCCCAGCCTATAACTAACATGCAGGGGCATGCCCCCTGAATGGAAAATGACTCTTGAGGGAGGGCAGTCATCAGACACCCTGCGTGGAATGGAGATACTTTATCATGAAGAATGCATGAATCAGTGAAAGCTCATCTTGTTTGGGATTCCTAGAATACACATTAGGCTATGGAAATGGAGCCTGGAAATATGGATATGATTACCCATAAGGATTCTCACAATCCCTGAGGTTGATCGACCATGGGTATGCTTGCATAAGTACATGGGTGCGGGCGTCTTAAAACTGAGTATTAGTGGAAAAGGTGAGAACCCCAATCCCTCAGATCGACAACGAGGAAGATGAAGCTAACCGGAGTGAAAGTGTATCGTTCGGTGCCCTCGGCGTTGGAGCCCCTCGAAACCCTCCATCCCCGATATAGGACCTAGTCCTCGACACCCAATTTGTTCAACAATGCTCGATGGTGAGGGATACATCTACGTTATACAAGTGTTGCCCTAGAACTCTATGCTTCCTAACCCCGAGGGTTAATACTTGGAGTTAGGAGTTAGAAGCTTAAGGTAGAAGCTTGAGTTAGAAGTTACAAACAAAATACGTGAAAGTTAAAGAAGCATGCATACAGAAGCAAAGTGATTTTTTCATTTCAAAAGAAGGGGCTTTGTGTACCCGAGGTTACAAAAAAAAAAAAAAAAAGAAGAAGAGTACAAACACAAAAGGAACAAAAGACCTAAACCTAGGCTACAGGAGGTAGAGGGCTGAACACTTCGCCACCGGCGTCTCTAGCAACATCCACAAAGAGCTCCTTTATGCTGGGGGAAGACCCAACATTGGTGGCGTCGGCTTGAGGAGCAGGTACAGAGGGCACTAGCATCTCTCGAGCTAGAGGGACCAAGGGAGGTACCGCAGCAGCTGGGGGTGGAATGGAGGCATCAGAAGGATCCGCCGAGGCTAGCACTTGGATGTTGGCATCTTGAGCAGCGATCTTCGCCTCGGCCTGTAGCATCTCC